GTTGAATTAAACTTTTCAGTATTGATACGCAGTGCTTGGAGAATCAAGAATCCAGAGCATATCATGGATAGGATGGGGTTTGTCCTGCTGCCCTTGTGCGGAAGAACTGGAGCCTCCTCTAACCGCTATCCCTTCAGAACCATCACAGCCTTCTCCAAAGCATGTCTGTTCTGCTCACAGGAGGAAAGGAGGAGGACAGGAGGAGAACACAGGTTTGTCAGCTGAATTAGCTCAGGCAACAGGGAAATTAGAGATTGGGGTGAAGACTGAATTGATGCTCAGAAAGGGCAATGGAAAATGGCTGAGAGAAAACTTCAAGAATGCATGAAGCAGGAACGGAGGAAAGTAAAATGAGGAGACTTCGTGGTGAGGTGGACGACTGAGTGCCATGTCTCCTTCACGGGTCATGAGTTGTCATCACTGCTCCTTCCATTTTAAAACTTATTTTTTATGAATTGTTTGTAATTGTGTGTTCCTAGAAAGATATTAGAATGCTAGGGAAAGCCTCTCATCATCAAAATTACATGTTATTCAAACTTGTTAAGTGTAGCTTACACAAACACCTACTTACATAAAAGGCTATTATCCTGTTGAATCATAATTTTAAGTATTTTTAGATACTGTGTAAGAAATCTGTAAAAGAAAAGAGCCTATAATGCTGAGAATATAGGATATGATTCTTCCTGGCAAGTGTGTGTGTGTGTGTGTGTGTGAGAGACTGAATGAAATGGTAAAAGCAGTTCAGGGTTTGAAAAGTGATTTCGGTAAAAAGATAGCAGTACTGAAGCAAACTCAGGCTGAAACAGAGGGAACTGAAAAACTTAGTAACCCAATTAGCTAATGCAGGGAAAGTCCTGCCAGCAGAATGGACCAACTAGAAAACACAATATCAAGGTTTGAACTGAAGTAGCAGAAGTGGACCACTCAATCAAAGAATATGAAATACTTTTAAAACACAGAAAAGGACTATCCAGAAACTTTAGGGTACCAGAGGAAGACAAAATCTATGAATGATAGACATAGAAGAAGGACACTCTCAGGTAAGTGGTCCTGATCTTCAACTGGACTATACAAGAAAACGTCATTAAATTAGGGAAAGACATATCTATACAGATACAAAAAGTACACAGAACACCAAGTAAACAGGACCAGAAAAGAAATTCCCCATGTCCTATCATAGTAAAAACACCAAGTTCACAGAACAAAGGGAGGGACTAGAAGCTGCAACAAGAAAACCACGTGATGCATAAAATTATCTTGAATCATTAATGACTGAACTGTGTCCCCCCAAAATCTATATGTTGAAGCCTTAACACTGATGACCTCAGAACATGCCATTATCTGAAGACAGGTCTTTAAAAAGCAATTAAAGTAAAACGAAGCTACATAGGTGTACTCAATTTTAATATGACTGATGTGGAGCACAGACACGCACATCATCTGTGGAACATCCTGTGTGGTCCCACAGAAATCAGCTGTTCACAAGCCACAGAAGCAAGCCTGGGGGAAAAATGACCTTGTTCACACCTAAATCTTGGAATTCCAGTCAGCAAGACTGTGAGAAAAGATTTTTAATGTCCTTTCAGCCACCCAACCTGTGGTAATGTGTTGTGAAAGCACTAGAGCAGAAACACAGTGATCCCTTTACATATACTATTATATAAAGACAGTACAAAAATAATTTGAAGTCCTAATTGTAGATATAAAAATCCTTGACATTTTCTTATTCTAACTTTCCTATTTTTCTTACCTTTTAAAAAATTTGTTGAGAATTTCACACATGCATATAAGGTGTTTTGATCAAATCCATATCCACTCCCTCCTCTCCAACTCTTCTCATATCTCCCCATCACTTTTTCCTGACAACTTTGTGTATCCTCTATTGTTTATGGGGCTTTTTGCTACTCTAACATTCTTCCCTCTGAAGAGGTAATCCTAAAATCTTTTAGGGATTAGATAAGAGCTTCCACTTACTTTTGACATTTTTGGCCTTCAAAACAGAGTGTGTTGCTAAGAGACCCAAGGACATTTTGACTTTTAGCCAAGGAACTGACTACTTTACTTTGGAATCTTTTTACCCTAACTGCCTAGCCAATTCCTACCTCCTATTATTATCACACCATCCTCTAAAGAGGTTACTCAGATTGCCAATAGGGAATTGGGTTGCATCCTCTCTGGCTTCTTCCATGCTGAACAGGGATGCAGGGTGGAGCAATTAGGGTACCCCTTCAGTGGGTCTATCTAAAAGACTCACAAATTGCATAACTCTTATCTGTAGGCAGAAAAGAAAGTCCTTGACTGGTGAATAGGAGATGTGAAGGAGAAGTAAAGGCAAGGGCAGTTAGAATTACAAGTTCTAGACAGGGAACCAGAAAAAAATCAGAACAGGACAAATTTCAAATTTTCATATCAGAGTCCATTGGAATTTCTTGACAAGAGCTTCCAAAAGCGTCCCTCTATTTTTTTCTGCCAAGGCTGCACTTGAGAGTGATAAATTCAGGATTTGGTTTCAGGCACTTTGACAGCTGTTGGAGTGGCTAGAATCATTGTTAGTTCCCTCTCAAAGGTTTCTAGATAGGAGGAGAAAACAAACTTACCCATCATTTTAGAACAATAGCGGGTTGTCTCCCTTAGCTACAGGTGGGCACTACAGTATTGCAGACCAAGATTTGAAGTCTTACATCTGAGCAGCACTTTCTGACTAGAAACAAAATCATCAATGAGAAATAATTGTCTGAATAACATTTTATATGGACTTAAGCCTAATGTCTGGGAAGTATAATCCTGTGAACTTTTAAAGAAATATACTGATCACTTTAATCTTTGGTTATACTTTCCTTTTGGGTGTTTAAGACCATAATTATTAAACCAACTTATTTTTACTCTAAAAGTTGTTTGGAGATCTGTTCCTCAGGGGTCACATGGGCTTGGGTGGAGCCCCTGGCCCCTTTCTTTTACCAGTTCTATGTGAAGATAATTCAAAGGTCTTGCTTGACTGTGGCTGGCTTCACTTGGAAGCATGGAAGAAATGTTTTCTCTGACTTGACCTTCCTCTTTATAGACTAGACACTGGTTCAAGTCCACCTGGTGGAGTCTCCATGGCCTCCCTGAACAAGAGGACAAGTAATTTACCACAGTTACAGGACATTTTGAGAGATGCTCCATAGACCTCTGGAACTTAGTTGACCTTGGAGGCCAAGGAGCCAAAACTGTCCTTTAAGTCCCTCTGACCAGATTAGTATAGGCCTCAAAGTATGGCTGTTAAACATCCAAGAAGGTTAGTTCCACCAGTCTGGTACTTTTAATTACCATGTGCTATGTAGATAAAGCTTCGGCCAAAACTAAACATTCTCAGGTAAACTTTGCCTAGACAGATATTTCGTTCCTTAAACTAGTTGACTAAACCATGACCTTAGAAATTCTAAGATTATGTGTATATTTGTCTCATCCTATATGTATCGTAACAAACCTATGCAGACCTTCATTGCTTGCTTAGGCTTTCTCATTTTTTTCTATTTTGGAAAATATCTCCATTCCCATATCCTTTTAACAGCTTTTACATTCTCATTCATTCTTAATAATTATGAGACATAATAACAGTAACAAGTAATTTTTCCATCTGTTGTAAGAATTCTTTTCCTGGGGATTCTAAGCAATGTTTATCCCCTTCTAAGGTTCTAGTGTCAAACCAATGTTTGATTAAAGTTTTCTTGGGGACCCAATGAATTTACTGAGCTTACTTACAGAGGTGACTGAGGGGTTGTTGAGGTGTATGAATAACCTGAAGGTATGCACACTGGAAAGCCTTTATCCAGCATGGATCAAGCCTTTTCTTCCTAGTCTTCCCCATATTACTTATTTAGTCATCGCCAAATCCAGGAGACTATGTGTGATTAGGGCCAAATTAAATACAGTTGGCTGGGAAGAGTGGCTGGATACTCTGGTGAGGGTCCAATGACTCTCCCTGGCCCTCCTTTAATGAATGAGCACAACCTTCAACAAGCCCAATTTTGATGATGTTTAGCGATCAGGGACAGCTGAAGTTGTGACGATGGCAGTTATTTCACGCAGAAGAGACTGTTGTGCAGCATCATCTATTAAAAGGACCTGGAATTTAAAAGGATTTGGGGATAGGATCCACAAATGAAGGAGACCATACGTCTTTTGTTTTTCTGAGTCTCTGTTACTTCATTTAGTATAACAGTTTCTAGATCCATCCGTTTACCTGCCGAAGCTTTATCTACTGCTGAGTAGAACTCCAGTGTGTAAATGTACCATATTTTTGTAAACCATTCGTCTCTTGAGGGGCACTTAGGTTGATTCAATCTCTTAGCTGTTGTGAGAAGAGCAGCAACAAATATGGTTGTACAAGTGTCTCTAGAATAGGATGAGTCCTTTGGGTGTATGCCAAGGAGTGGCATAACTGGGTCATATGTTAGGTTCATTTTTAGAGTTTTAAGAGTTCTCCACACTGCTTTCCATAGGGGTTGCTGGAGTTTGCAATCCCACCAGCAGTGAATTAGCATTCCCTTTCTCCAGATCCTCACCAACAGTTGTTATCATTTGTTCTCTTGATCCTAACCAGTCTGATTGGGGTAAGGTGAAACCTTAGAGTACTTTTAATTTGCATTTCCCTAAATACTAATGATGTTGAACACTTTTTGAGATGTTTCATAGCCATCTTTATTTCTTCCTTTGAGAAGTCTCTATCTAGATCTTTAGCTCATCTTTTAATTGGGTCATTTGGTTTCTTGAGTTCTTTATACATTCTGGATGTTAAACCTCTGTCAGATGTGTCACTGGTGAAGAATTTTTCCCACTCTGTGAGTTTCCTCTTCAGTTTTTTAATTGTTTCTTTTACTGTACAGATGCCTTTTAGTTTAATGAAGTCCAACTTGTTGATTGTTGACCTTAATTTCTGAACAACTTCTGTCCCATTTAGAAAATCCTTTCCTACACCTATATCTTGTAAGTTACTGCCAATGTTTTCTTCTAATAGTTTTAGGGTTTTCAGTTTCACATTGAGGTCTTTGATCAATTGGAGTTGACTTTTGTGCAAGGTGAAAGATAAGGATCTAGTTTCATTCTTCTACAGGTGGAGATCCAGTTTTGCCAGAACCTTTTGTTTTTAAAGGTGCTGTCTTTCTTCCATTCTGTGTTTTGGCACCTTTGCCAAATATCAGGTGGTTGAAATTGCATATACTAGGGTTAGATCTTCAATAATGTTCCATTGATCTATGTGTCTATTTTTGTGCCAGTACCACACTGTTTTTATGACTATAGCTCTGTAGTATACTTTGATATCTGGTATAATAAATCCCCCCAGCATTGCTATTTTTGCTCAGGGTTGCTTTTACTATTGGGAGTCTTTTGTACTTCCATACGAATTTATGGATGGTTTTTTCTAATCTTGTGAAGTATTTCATGAGGGTGTTGATCAGATTGCATTGAATCTATATATTGCTTTTGGTAGGATGGTCATTTTCACAACATTAATTCTTCTAATGCACAAACATAGGAGGTCCCTCCATCTCCTGGTGTCTTCCTCAATCTCTTTTCTTTAACAATTTAAAATTTTCATTGTAGAGATCTTTGGTGTCTTTGGTCAGGTTTATTCCAAGCTATTTTATTTTATGGGTTTTTTTTTTGCAGCTATTATGAATGGGAATGTTTCCCTGTACTCTGTCGCCAATTGCTTGTTATTGGTATATAGAAAGACTTCTGATTTTTGTAGATTGATTTTATAACCTGCCACTATATTGAAAGTATTGATCAGTTCTATGAGTTTTCTGGAGGAACTTTTGGGATCTCTTAGGTATAGTATCATATCATCTACAAAAAGTGATATTTTGACCTCTTCTTTTCCAATTAGTATTCCTTTAATTTTCTTCTCCTGTCTTATTGCTCTAGCAAGAGTTTCAAGAACTATGTTGAAAGGGAGTGGAGATAGTGGGCAGTCTTGTCTGGTTCCTGATTTTAATGGGAACATTTCCAGTTTTGCTCCATTTAGAACTACGTTGGCTGTGGGTTTGTTGTACATAGCTTTAGTTATGTTGAGGTGTGTTCCCTCCAGTCCAATTCCCTTTAGAACTTTTATATGAGTGCATGCTGAATTTTGTCAAAAGCCTTTCCTGCATCTCTTGAGATGATGATGTGGTTTTTGTCTTTGAGTCCATTTATATGATTGATGATGTTTATTGACTTGTGTATATTGACCCATTCCTGCATCTCTGGAATAAAGCCTACTTGATCATGGTGAAGGATCTTTATGGTGTACATCTGTATGTGGTTTGCAAGTATTTTGTTGAGAATTTTTTCATATATGTTCAATAAGGATATTGATATATACTTATCTTTTTTGGTTGTGTCTTTACCTGGTTTATGTATTAGAGTGATGCTGACTTCATAGAAGGAATTTGGGAGTTCCCCATCCGTTTCTATCATTTTGATTAATTTAAGCAGTATTGATTGGAGGTCTTCTTTAACTGTCTGGTAAAATTCTGCCATAAATCCATCTGGGCTTGAGCTTTTTTTTTAGTTGGGAGGCTTTGTATTACTGCTTCAATTTCCTTATATGTTATGGGTCTGTTTAAGCTGTTGATCTCTCCTTAGTTTAAATTTGGTGGTTCCCAAGATTTTAGAAATCCATCCATTTCTTTTAGATTTTGAAATTTAGTATAGATTTTTAAAATATTCCCTTATAATGTTCTGTGTTTTGGCGGTGTCTGTTGTGATGTTTCTCCTTTCATGTCTCATTTTGTTGATTTGTATTTGCTCTTTCTTTCTTTTGGTTAACTGGGGTAAGGGTCTGTCTATCTTGTTTAGCTTTTCAAAGAACCAGCACTTAGATTCATTGATTCTTTGTATTGTTTTCTTTTTTTCTATTTCATTAATTTCAGCTCTGATTTTTGTTATTTCTTCTCTTCTGCTGCCTTTGGGTTTCATGTGTTCTTGCCTCTCCAGCATCTTGAGTTGCAGTGTTAGGTCATTTATATAAGCTCTTTCTAGTTTTTTAATGTAGGCACTTAGAGGTATAATGTTCCCTCTTAGGACTGCTTTTAAAATGTCTCAGAGTGTTATATTGTCCTTTTTGTTGAATTCCAGGAATTCTTTTATTTCTTTCTTAAACTCTCCCTTGACCCACTCATTGTTTAGGGGTGTGTTGTTTAATCTCCATGAGTTTGTGTAGTGACTAGGGCCTCTTTCAGTGTTGGTTTTGAGCTTTCTTGCATTGTGTTATGATAGAATGCATGGAATTATTTCAATATTTTAGTATTTTTTGAAGTTTGTTTTGTGCCCCACTGTGTGGTCAATTTTTGAAAAGTTCCATGGGGTGGTGAGTAGAAAGTGTATTCTTTTGTGCTTAGGTGGAATATTCAAAAGATGCCCGTTAGGTCCATTTGATGAATGGTATCATTTAATTCAGACATCTCTCTGTTCTTTGTCCAGTTGACCTGTCTAATGGAGACAGTGTGGTATTGAAGTCCCCTAGTATTACTGAGTGAGGGTTAATCTGTGTCTTAAAGCCTTGTAGTGTTGTTTTTATGAATTTGGGTGCACCAGAGTTTGGTACATATGTGTTCGGGATTGTAATATCTTCTTGGTTAATTGTTCCTTTGATGAGAATGAAATAACCCTCCTTACCTCTTCTGATTAGTTTTACTTTGAAGTCTATTTTGTCAGATATTAGAATTGCAACCCCTGCTTGTTTCTAAGTGCCATTTGCTAGGAAGATTCTTCTCCATTCTTTCACTTTAAGGTAGTGCCTGTCCTTGAATGTGAGATGGGTTCTCACAGACAGCAAAAACTAGATTTCTGTTTCTTAATCCATTCACTTAGGATTTGTCTTTTCAGTCCATTGACATTTAAAGTTATTATTGAAAGATATGCATTAGTTGCCATCGTTTTGATTGCTGTTTGAGTTCTCCATCTAATTTTGTGTTTCCCCATTTATACCTTTATTTATTTTCTTTTGTTTCCCCTGGGGTATAGTTGTTTCTCTCTCTGCTCTTTGTATTGCTTCAAGTATTCTTTGAAGGGCTGGTTTCGTGGACATGTATTCTTTCAGGTATTCATGTCATGGAAGATTTTTCTTTCCCCCTCAACTATAATAGACATTTTTGCTGGGAAGATTATTCTGGGCTGGCATGTATTGTCATTTAGAACTGGAAATTCCTTGGTCCAGGCTCTTCTGTATTTTACAGTTTACATTGATGAATCATATCTAATTCTGATGAGCTTTCCTTTATATGTGACTTGTTTTTCTTTTGCTGCTTTCAGTATTCTCTCTTTGTTATGAATATTTAGTGTTTTTACTATGATATGCCATGGGGAGTTTATTTTCTGGTCCTGTCCATTTGGTCTTTTATGTGCTTCTTGTATTTGTATGGGGATGTCTTTCCTTAAGTTTTGGAAATTGTCTCCTACAATCCTGTTTAAGATCTGGTCAATACCATTACCCTGAAATTCTTCTCCTTCCTCTATGCCTGTGATATGTGATTTGGTTTTTCATGGTGTCTCACTTCTCTTGCATATTCCATTCCTTTATTTTTTTCAATTTTTTTTATAATCTCTGCTTGAGTGGTCCAGTTCTTAAACTTTATCCTCCATTGTTTCTATTCCATTTTCTATTTCATTCATTCTAGTGGTGAAGCTTTCCCCTGTTGTTTCAAGTTGGCTTGTTGAGTTCTTCACTTCCTTCTTAATTTCTTCCTGAGTTTTTTTTCAATGTTTCTATTGCTTCTGTGAATTAATTCAGAAGAGTATCTCTATCTTCTTTTAGACCTTTGATTTCTTTGTTTTTTATTTAAATTTGTTGAATTCTTTGACCATGTTTATGATTGTTCTTTTAAATTCTACGTCCTGGGTTATCTCTAGGAGGTTCTCCTCATAGAACTCTTCTATAGGACTGGTAGAGTTTGCTGGGGACATGGTGTTTTGTCATTCCATTTTATTATTCTTTTG